CCAGAGAAGCTGTGGCTGCCCCTGGATCCCTGGAAGTGTCCAAGGCCAGGCTGGACAGGGCTCGGAGCAACCTGGGATAGTGGGAGATGTTCCCCTGTCCCCATGGCAGGGGGTGGGACTGGATGAGCTTTAAGGTCCCTTCCAGCCCAAACCAGTCTGGGATCCCATGATTTGTCTCACCATTTGGCACAGCCGTAGGGCTGCCACGGCCCAAACCTTGGCACAGGGCAGGAAAGCTCAGTGACACTTTGTGCCATCCCATTCAGTGCCATCTCATGGCTGAAGCTGCCCCCTGCCCCCCTGCCCACAGTGCCATCATGCCCACCCCAGAGGGAAGGCACCCCCAGCCCAAACATCCCCACTGTCGGCTTCACCTCCCTGCACATCTCTGTGAGGGAGGAAGAGAAGAGGGAAATCACCCTCTGAAACCACTTTTCCTCCTGGCTCATTTGCAGTTCCTGCTGCTCCTCAGGAGGGGTGAGTGTCTGGGGGGGTTGGAAAAATCTCACCCCATTCTATGGCTCAGATCTGACCTTCAGCAGCTCTTGGCCCCCACTCAGCACTTGGGCTGAGACCCACAGGCTCTAAAAACAGCGTCTGCAGAAAGCCCTCACACCGCCTGGAAGGAGGCCACTGATTCCTTTCCTGTTCCTTCATTTGGCTTGGCCTGTCCTTTTTGTTTGTGCAAGTGAAATAAAGTGGCTTTGAGAGCCTTTTAACTGAAGAGGCTGGAGCAGCTCAGGTGGGAGACACCCCCAGGCCTGATGCCCACCCTGTGCCAGCCCAGATCCATTAGTTCTGCTGGAGCAAGCTGCTCCACGGCATGAAATATTCACAGTCATCTCAAGAGCTGAAGTTCTTTGCCATGTTTTGGTTGAGCTAAAAGACTTCTATTTCAGTGAATAGTGCCCAGCTCCTCTCCAGTCCAGGATGCTCCATCCAGGCTGGTGGAGTATCTTTGGAGTCCAAGTGTTGCAACTCAGTGGCCTTGACCAACTGAGAATTCAGACTGAACCCAAAGGAGCTATTTTTAAATAATTGGATATTTTGTTAATAAAAAAACCTTGGAGAAATACAGAAGGGGAAGGTATTTAATGTTAACTTTGTAGATAGGTGATTTTTGCTGGTTTTCCTTTGGCTCTTGTGCCTTCCCAGGGACCAGAAGATCTTCTCAGGAACCAAGAGATTTTCCCAGGGGATTAGGAGTTCCTCCTAGTATCCAGGAGGTTCTCCCAGGGACCAGGAGATTCTCTAGAAGATGCTCCCAGTATCCAGGGGATTCTCCCAGGGACCAGAAGATTCCCCCAGGAACCAAGGGATTTTGCAGGAGATCTTCCCAGTATCCAGGGGATTCTCCAGGAAAACCCCCCAGGATCCAGGGGTTTCTCCCAGGGACCAGGAGCTCTGCCCAGCATCTTTTTTTTGCTTTGCTCCTCCTTTCCCACATCACTCCAGGCAAAGCCCCAAACCTTCCCCTGTCTCCCTGGGTGGGGGAAGCTGCTCTGACCTCTCTCATCACAGTATTTTGGGATTCACCAGCAGCATCTGCTGTGGAAGATCTCCTGTTCCGTGGGTCTGTGTCACTTTGTTCCCAGGCTGTTCATTTTTAGACACGGTGCCACCATATCGGGGTCACCGATGTCTCTCGGCGTCCCCTCCTCTTGTCCCCACACTAAGGGGGGGGTGAGGGGGTGCTGGAGGTCTGAGAGCTCCATCCTCTGGCATCAGCAGTGTGGGGGAGGTCAGATGCTTTCCCTGGAGGTGGCTCACAGTCCTGGGAACTCACTCACAGCTTTCACAGCTCCTAAAATGACACGAGGCCCAGTTCTGTCACCCCCTTCCTCTGGAGAGCCGTGGCTGGGATGGGGATGGGGCTCAGCCACTGGCCCTGTCCAACCCCTCTGGGCACCAGGGGCAAGCCTTGGGCCAGCTTGGATTCCAGCTCTTTCTGGAATGGCTGCTGGCATCCACTCCAGCCCTCAGAGTCCCTCTGCCTTTGCAGGGGCTGGGATGGGGTCACCAGGAGTGACACCATGGGGAGATGTGACCATCTGGGGCTCTGCAGGTGTGAAGGTGGTGGGACAGGGTCTGTCCTCTTTGGAGAGCTTCTCCCACCCCTGCCCTTGGCATCTGCAGGTGCCCACCCTGGGAGTCCTGAGCAATGGGGCTGGGTATGAGTCTGGACTCCCAATGACACTGGGACTGGAATTCAGCTGTTCTGGATGAGGCCAGTCCTGAGGATAACCCTGCCCTGTGGTTTTAATATATCCCTCACAGCATCACATCCCAGAGCACCTCCCAGCACACCACCAGCAGGATACAGAGGGGGAAAAGGGTGGAAAAAAGCACATTTTTTCTGTTTGTAGGTGGTCTGCAAACTCACAAACAGATGGTCTGAAGCCTTGGGGGCTTCCCTGGGAATAAAGACAGTAAAACAAAGAGAGATCATCTGTTTCCTGATGGGACCTGGATACCGAATCTCCTGTCCCTGGGACACTAGGGATCCTCCTTCTGGAGTGGCTGTTGGCATCTGCTCCAGCCCTGAAGTCCCTCTGGCTTTGCAGGAGGTGGGATGGTGTCCCCAGCAGGACACAAAGTGCCTTTCCCAGCACCACACACGCAGATGGGGTAAGATTTCCAGTTTGGGTGTCTATAAAATCCATTGAGATAGAAACGATTCAGAAGGAAATTATTATTTCATAATAATATTGATGCAAAGACGTCAGCTGGTTAAATCCTCGTGAAAGAGCCAAGTGGGTGCAGAACTCTGGTTTTCCAAAGGGCTGGAATATGTCTGGAGCAGTGAGCGTGGCTGGGGGAGGTGAGTGCAGACACACAGACAACAACGGCTTCACAATTAGGAGAGTAAATGAGGAGAGAGCATCACTCAATCTAGAGAAATTCCCTTGATTTTCTGGAGTTTGGCTCTTTATTCAGAGCTGGTGCTGTTTAGGGGACAAACTCCCCCTGCTATTGCAGAACCTTCGCAAGGCGACAGCAGGAAGGGAAAGTTGGAATTTCAGCTCCACTGGAATTGTTCCCTGCCCAGCCTCAGTTTCTGCATATTGCATAAAGATTAGCCTGGGGCAAGTCATTTTTTGGATTCAACCTACCCTGCTCTGGCAGATCCGCCTTCAGAAAAGGCTAAAATGTTGCAGATGACATTAAAAACCCTCACCCAGAGTAGCCTCCTTCCCAGCTGGATGCCTGCAGGAGGGAAACGTGTAGTGCCAGGGCTGTTTGCAAAGGATTCACAGTTTTTCCATAGGGCTAGACATTAATTTTCGATATTGGGATCTGGCTGGGGCTTGTGGAAATACAATTTTTGTTTCAGGATGAAGAGTGATTGCATCCCCCAGTGCTGCCCCCGCTCTCTGTCTGTGCCTCCTGCTGCTCTGGGACCTTTAGGGAGCTAAAATAATGTCCCCACATCTCCACATCCCCCTGGATCACTGGGCACTACACCGAGCACTGATTTGCTTGAGTATTCAGGGGGGTCCATGCCCTCCATCCCACCTCAGGGTGGGATCTGCACCTTAGTGCAGTGATCACTGTCTGAAATTGCTCCATACAAATTTGACCACTGTGTATGGGAATAGAAATATCCCCCATTTCCCTCCTCCAGCGCTCATGTTTCTGGGTGCCAGGAGCCTTGTGGGACTCTCTAATGCTTTTTGTGGGATGGCAGAGTGGTCCAAGCAGATGCATCTCCCTTGTGCAGGCAGGGGTTGATCCATAGGTTTTATACGTTTGTAGGAGCTTGGCCATGTCCTTCCTTTGGGGTGGGAGAAGCCTCCCCGTGAAGGGACCTCAGTAAAGGCAAAGTGATACAAAATAATCGCTTTCCACGTTCCCCACCCCAGCCAAGGGCAAAGCAGAGAGTCCGGTCCTGCCCCATCTCCTTCCCCAGAGCTGCAGGGAGCTGGTGCTTCTCCATCCCCCCGTTCTCCCACAGCAGATCCAGGCTATTACCAAGGCTATGGTATGGATTGGAGCCGCATGGTAAAGCAGCATCATGTATCCAGGGATATGATTATTTCCCAGTGGTTGAAATCTAGGTCTCTTGCTTGGGAGGAGGGGTGCGGGGTGGGGGGGAAGTGGGTAGGGGGGGAAGACGCTCGTATTAATCTTATGAATATTCATGGTGAAGCTTTGCTGGCTTTGGAGATTGAGTCCGGGGTAGAGTTTGGGGGGCCGGGGGTGAGAGGTGCCGGCAGCGGCGCGGAGCAGCTGCTTGTGCATTCGCCGCATGCCTGACTGCAGAACCGAGCGTAAGTTGGTGCCTTTTTCTCTTCCCCCCCCCCCGCCCCATCCCTGCATCCTTCCCCTCTTCCCGCTGCTCCCCTGCTTAAATAATCCTGGCCAGGAACGGTGCAAAAGGAGGGACTTTTGATTTAGACGCAAACACGACCCCAAATCTCACCCCTCCGAGACGCAGCCATGGCTCCTGCCTGCAGTGCGGGCAGGGAGAGAACTCAGGGGCTTCGGGCAAATCTTCACCACCTCCATCCCCCCCACCTCCTAAATTTGCATGAATTAACCCTAAAAATGCTTGAGGGGGGGGCGGAGGGTACTTGCCAGGAAGGCAGGTGATGGGGAGAAAGTAGGAGAAACTGAGTGCTGGGATAGGTGATGTCAACTCAGACGATGTCGTAACCCTCTCCATTGAGCATCACTGCTTGGAGTCAGAGAAAGCAGCCCAGAGCCTATGACAAAAAAAATCAACCTGTTAAAATAATGAAAAAGGAAATTTCTGTGCTGTTAAACAAATTCGGGGTGTTTTGGGAAGGGAGGAAGGGGAGGAGAGAATTTACGGACAGGAGAAAAACTGCGTGTTTATTAAAAAAATAAATAAAATCTTGAAGGTTGGTTGATTTTTCTGGTGACATGGGCATTTGTGGCTGCCAGACCTTTCCTGCGGGAGCAGAAAGATGGTGTTTGTGGTGTTCTGGTATGATGCTTGGAGGAGCCAGGGAAGGTCAAATCCAGCTAAACTCCCGAGTGAGTCACTGGGGAGCGAGTGGTGGGGAGGCAGATGCAGGAAAAGGAGAAAAACTGGGACAAATGTGACCTCCCCTCCTCTGGGCCTGGCAGAAAAGGGTTAAGAGAAGCGGTTGACTGCTGCAAGCCTCGTCAGGGTTGTACTATTTTTTCTAGTGCATAAGGAGAAGGGAGAGGAGGGTTGCACGGAAAAGGGAAATTTCCAAGAAAAGAGGGATCTGCGGCAATATCTGCACCTCGGGGGATGAAGAGAGGAACCAACAGGCATAAATGGCCTGGAGACAGCTGAAATCCTTGCCGAGGAGATTGGCACCGCGGGGTTATTTTCCACCTGCCTCCCCTACCCATTTCTGTAATCCTGGCTCAAAGTAGACAAGTCGAGTTGGAGCTGAAGAAGGGAGGTTAGAGGGGTTTTTATTTCATTTGGGAGGGGAGAAAAAAAAAAAAAAAAGGAAGCAAAAATGAGAGGTCGGTTGTGCCTCTCCGGGTTGAGCATCTCCGTGGCGCGAGGCAATGCAGGATGATCCAAAGGAGCACTCGCCGGGAGCAGGGATGTGAGGATCCGGCACCCACCGGGGACACGAGCCTCAACATCCCCAGGAGAAATTTCACCCGGCGGAGTCGAATTCCCACGGGGGTGGGTCGGCCGGGGGGAAGCGTTGGCTTTTGGGAGGATGGGGAGGGTGGATGGAGGTCGCGCGGGTCGGGGCCTACAGTGCGGGTCCTTGGAGCTACCAGCGGGGGGCAGGTGGCCTTGAAGGGGGACAGACAGGGACCGGTGGGGGGGGTTCAGTCTGGTGGATGAAACCGGAGCCTGCTGAATTACCGGGGGACGCGACGCAGCGCCGTGAGTGCCGTGCCCGGGGGGTGATGAGCCCCGTGGGTGCTGTGCTCGGTGGGTGATGAGCCCCGTGGGTGCTGTGCCCGGTGGGTGCCGTGCCCGGTGGGTGCTGTGCCCGGTGGGTGCCGTGCCCGGTGGGTGCTGTGCCCGGTGGGTGATGAGCCCGGTGGGCTTGGCGGTGGTGGGGACCCTCCGTGGCTTTGCAGAGCCTCAGCGGCGGGGGGGCTGCGTCGTTCCCCCCCCCCTCCTGCGCCTGGCACCGGCTCCCCCGGGCAGCGGCCTCGCGGTGCTGAGCGGAGCGCAGGGAGATGGGGGTTTTTGGGCTCTGGCTTTTTCCGCCCTGGCTCTAGCGCGCTCTCGCCCTCGGCTCGCGTTGCAGTGCGGGGCGGGCGAGCAGCGGGCGAACAGCTCGCGGGGAGGAAAAAAAGGGGGTGCCCGGAGGAGCCGCGGCTTTGCAGATGCTCCTCTGGGACCTCCAGCAGCTTGTTACCTTCTCGGTGTTTTTTCCAGGCGATGCCACACCTCCCGAGGACACTGGAGACATCGGGTTTTGCTGAGCTTAGCAGCTTTTCGCCGTCGTACCAAAGGCATCAGACAGACGCTCATCTGCCCTGAAGTGCAGATCTGCAACAGCTCCCGGGAAGACTCTGTCTCTCTGTCTCTCTGTCTCTCTTTTCTCTCTCTCTCCAGTCCAAACCATTACAAGACCTGACTTCCACCATCTGGGAATTTAACCCCTCTTATGTCCCTTCTCCTTTTTCTACGATGACTCACCATTATTTTTAACTTTGAAGAGAGAGGAAATTATGGGGATCTTGGAAGCCTGTATTTCTCTCTAGGATTTCCCCAGGGTCAGATAATCGGTGTTACTAAGAGACTAAGATTTGGCTTCTCCAGGTAATGTGATTTGTTTTCTGTGTGCCATGGTGGTTTGCAAAGGATGACAGGAGCCGGGACACCAGCGGCCGAGGAGGGGGACTGCGGTGGTCCACGGGGAATCGCTGGCTCCGCATTCCAGAGCTTGGCTGCAGGCAGGGAGGGCAGCATGTCGCCGAGCCGCTGCTTCGTGGCTAGGGCAAGAGGATTGGGAAGGTGTTAAAAGCCGAGTTCGAGTTTTTCTAGAGGGTTGATTGCCTGAGATCGCACGATTAAATGTTAATTAACCCTTCACTGCATGCCTGGGAATGAGCTGAGCCCGGCACCCCCTGGGATCCCCTTGCCACTTTAGGGCTGGATGGGGTTATTTTTCTTCCTTCCTTTCTCTTCCCTTCCCTCTCTTTGTTTTTGTTGTTGTTGTTGTTTTTTTTTTAAATTGGAATTCTGATTTTTAGCCAAGAAAAAAAAGCCCTGCTTTGCCAATGCCAGTTTTTCCGTGCTGGTTTTGAACAGGTGATGGTTCCTCAGGTGTTTTCTCTGTTCCACCTAATGGGTTTAGATGGGAGTTGTTGAACTCTGTATCATAGAAGGCAAATTAACCCCCCAAGAAAGGGCATAGACATGCTAGTGAAGGGATCTACTCTCCTCCCCCCAACTTTATTCCATCTCTCTCTTTCTCAGCAGGGGTGATTTTCTTTCTCCTTTTTTTTTTTTTTAATTTTTCATTTCCTCTTTTTTTTTAATCTCATCCCTTTGCCTTTTCATGAGACTCTTTCAACCCTGCGTACCTGTCCTTCTGCAGGATAGTAGCCCTGCCCTGAACCTGATCCCACCACTGGGTCCTGGGAAGAGTTTAGCATAAGGATTTCTTTGAAACCCCAATATGACAGTTGCCACTGGAGATCCTGCAGATGAAGCTGCAGCTCTTCCCGGTCACCCGCAGGACACGTATAACCCCGAGACCGACCATGAGTGCTGCGAGAGGGTGGTCATCAACATCTCGGGGCTGCGCTTCGAGACGCAGCTCAAGACACTTGCCCAGTTTCCAGAGACCTTATTAGGGGATCCTAAAAAGAGGATGAGATATTTCGACCCTCTCCGGAATGAGTATTTCTTTGACCGGAACAGACCCAGCTTCGATGCGATTTTGTACTATTACCAGTCTGGTGGGAGGTTGAGGAGGCCGGTTAATGTGCCCTTAGACATCTTCTCGGAAGAGATCCGATTCTATGAACTGGGGGAAGAGGCAATGGAGATGTTTCGAGAGGACGAGGGCTACATCAAAGAAGAGGAGAGGCCATTGCCTGAGAACGAGTTTCAGAGACAAGTGTGGTTGCTCTTTGAGTACCCCGAGAGCTCAGGCCCTGCCAGGATTATAGCTATTGTCTCCGTCATGGTGATTTTGATCTCCATTGTCAGCTTTTGCTTGGAAACATTGCCCATTTTTCGGGATGAGAACGAAGACATGCACGGCAGCGGGCTGAGCCACCTCCCCTATTCCAACAGCAGCATGGGGTACCAGCAGTCCACCTCCTTCACAGACCCCTTCTTCATCGTGGAGACACTTTGCATCATCTGGTTCTCCTTCGAGTTCCTGGTGAGGTTTTTCGCCTGCCCCAGCAAGGCTGGATTTTTTACCAACATCATGAACATTATTGACATCGTAGCCATCATTCCCTATTTCATCACCTTGGGGACAGAGCTGGCCGAGAAGCCAGAGGATGGCCAGCAAGGCCAGCAAGCCATGTCCTTGGCCATCCTCCGAGTCATCCGCTTGGTGCGGGTCTTCAGGATCTTCAAGCTCTCCCGGCACTCCAAGGGGCTGCAGATCCTGGGGCAGACTCTCAAGGCCAGCATGCGGGAGCTGGGCCTGTTGATATTTTTCCTCTTCATCGGCGTCATCCTCTTCTCCAGCGCCGTTTACTTTGCCGAGGCCGATGAGAGCGAGTCCCAGTTCCCGAGCATCCCCGATGCCTTCTGGTGGGCTGTGGTTTCCATGACGACTGTTGGCTACGGAGACATGGTCCCTACAACCATCGGGGGGAAAATAGTGGGTTCCTTGTGTGCCATTGCTGGCGTATTAACGATTGCCTTACCAGTGCCCGTCATAGTGTCCAACTTCAACTACTTCTACCACCGGGAGACGGAGGGAGAGGAGCAGGCTCAATATCTGCAAGTAACCAGCTGCCCAAAGATCCCCTCTTCCCCTGACCTAAAGAAAAGCAGAAGTGCCTCTACTATTAGTAAGTCTGATTATATGGAGATTCAGGAAGGTGTAAACAATAGCAATGAGGATTTTAGGGAGGAGAACTTGAAGACAGCCAATTGCACCCTAGCTAACACAAACTATGTGAATATCACCAAAATGCTAACCGATGTCTAGTCGCTAAAATCTAGTCATGTATTTAAAGCTGAAGTGGAACAATTGCAGATATTGAGTGCTGCTCTGCATTGTAGTTAACACAGTATTTTCTACGGTGTATATTTGGTTCTGCATGGGAAGCAATAGCTGTGTAAGTTACTTTTAACCTTCTATTTCCACACTGAATAAGCGTCTGTGCAAAAAAAAAAAAACAAAAACAAAACAACCCAACAAACCAAACCCAAACCGTTTTGTTGCCCTTCTCCCATCCCAGGCTTGTGGGTTTCCGAAGATATGGAGGGTGTTCCAAGCAGCAGGATGGGGATACGAGGGGGGCAGCTCCAGGCTGTGCCAGATCCCTGTCCTGGGTGACGACCACCTTCCAGGGAACGGCTGGGAAAGGTCAGGCAGAACTTAATGAAGGGTCGATGCGGGCGAAGCGTCCGAATTGCTGGAAGGCTCAGGTTTCCACCCTGGGAATGCCAAGCCCCGGACGCGTCGCCCAGGCTCGTGTTTCATAACTGAAAATGCTGCATGCTGCAATAGTTTCAGCCACTGCAGTGTGCCAGTGTGAGGCCCAGGGGAGGGATAATTAGTGTGACAGCACATTATTTATTAAGTCTTAAATTTTCTATGCCAGGCATCGGGAGGGCCGGGTAAATAAATCAAGCGCTTGGATTTTAGTATTTCTTTAGATAGCACTTCCATCCCCAATATTTCCAGGCTCACCAAAGACATCTCCACTAATATATTGAAAATGAGTTGGAAAAAGCATCTTTTTTTACATCTATATATAAAACTGGAGCAACTATGCTATGGCCTATAATATATTTATACTGCAGTGAAATTTAACCAGTAATACAGTACAGCTGCATGGATATTTGTTGCATGAATCTGAATATTTAATACACACACAAATATATATTTTCTTAGTAGACTATACAATATTCATGTTTATAGTGTTTATAGATTCTCCGGTGGCTCAAAGGAGATTCATGGGAGTTCAAAAATCTCAACTGTAGTTAAAAACAGAATGGGGAAGGCATGTGCTGACAACAGTTGGATAGATAACAAGGCAAAGCCTGAGTGTCTGAGCATTCAGACCCAAGAGCCAACTAGTGCAATGGAAGGTGAGCTGAAAGTTAAACACCTGCACTCATTATGGGGCGAGTAATTAGTCATTAATCTTGGTGTCAGGAGCAGAAACCACGGTGGATCAGAGAGGGCACAAGGAGCAGGTGGAATCGCTCTCTTGGCTTGTTTGTTCAGCAGTTTTCAGCCGTTCCTGTATAATTCTTGTGTGTGTGTATGTAGATATTTAGAGAGCGACTACAGGGCCGAATCGTCAGCAAACAGAGCTCTTGGGGCATTGGGGATTTCCTGATTTAGGGGTGCTGGGATGGTGGGACATGGGCTGGAGCAGGATGACCTACCCCATGTAGCCCACGGGATCACCAGGGCAGGGCATGTTTTGGGTTGGAAAACTCTTTTTCAACCACATAGAGCCCTAGGGCTGGGGGTGTATTTCTTTTTGATGGAGAGGGCATGTGCTGGGGGTGGGCTGGATCTGAGCTGGTGCCTCTGAGCCTTTGCTTTACCTTCTTCCAGGGTTTTTAGAGCAGTGAGTTGGGGTGCAGAGAGCCTGAGTTTGTCTCTGCTTCTTCATCCCTGCTGGTATTTGGGGATGGGAGCTGTTGATCCAGGGGAATCTCGTCTGCTTCCCCATTCCCATCTGAGTTTCCTTGTGTCTCCCTCATTGCTGACAATCCCCAGGGACAGGTGTCCTGTTCCTCTGATAGGTCAGGGGAGAGGGATGAAAATCTCTGTCAAGGTCGTGGTCGATCAAAGCCTCCCTGGGCTGTGGAACGAGGTTCAGTTGGGGTGAATTTGGGCTGAATTGGGGCACAGTCAGTGCTGTACCACTGCATGAAGTGTGGGCACAAGGAAGGAATCCTCTGGCAGAGCATATAGGGGAGGTCAGAGACCCTTCCTGGGCTCAGAGAGAAAAACTCTACTAAATAACAATAAACCAACCGGTGCTAACATATTCTACAGCAATGGTTCCAAATGATGCTCTGGGGCCAGATCTTGTGCTGATGTGGCTTCCTTCAGCCAGGTGGAAACACTCCTCAGTTTTGTTGGATTGGTTGGTTGATTGATTCCGGCCTGGCTATAATTAATACCATGGTTTGTGCATGAGAGTCCTGCCTTCTGCCTGGGGCAAAGGACCAGCAGCATCCAGGGGTTGGGGCTGAGTGTGCTCAGCACCATGGGCCACCCAGGCCTGTCTTTAATCTCATTATATTGGGAGCCTTCTGCTCCCACTTTCCTGCAGCAGCTTGGGAACGGGAGCTTCTGAAACCCAGGCACCCACCCCACCCCCCCACAAAAAAATCAGCACAACCAAAAGCAATAAATTTTGACTCCTGAAGCTCATCCTGTTGGATGGGGCAGGGCTGGCAGGAGTCTCCAGCTCGGGCACAATTCCCGGGGCAATCAGCCAACTTCCATTGATCCGGATCGTGGTGGGTCCATGGAGACATGAGCTTGCATAGGGAAGCTGCTGGATGTGCTGGGATGCTGCTCACCCACCTCTGGGTGCCTCCACACCTGGTGATCCAGTTAATGGAAATGGTGAAATAGAGCTCGAAGTTATGAAGATGAATTTATTCCAATCCATTCCTGGTCTTGCCGCATGTTTTTGGGGATTCTGTCAGTCGGTGAGACTCGGCAAAGTGCCTGGTTGTGAGCTTGGGATGATTTGGGATGGTTGGCCGAAGCCTTGGGTGCACGTTGGGAGCACGAGTGCCACTGTGCTTTGGTGAGGAAGAAGGTTGTGTTTTCCTTTGGGTAGGTGGTGTTCTGGGAATTGTGTCCTTGTGGCTTTCCAAGGCCAGGCGGGAGGGGAGAGCGGATCCGTGAGCAGGATCAGCCACATCCAAACCTTCTCACCAAACTGGGGGGCCCAGCTGCCTTTGGAAGCCCCAGAGGTGCATTCCAGTGAAAAATGGGGCCGAAGAGCAAGAGGCCACTCTGCTGCTGTCACCAGTGTGTGCTGACATCTGTCCCCACGGCAGGGCTGGCACGGCCAGTCCCTTCCTTAGGACAGATCCTGCACCTCTTGCACTGACCCCAGCAGATGTTCCTGGGGAAAACAAGCCCTGGTGGGGGATTGGCTCTGTTCTGCACTTGTTTGGGAAACAGGGCAAACAACCAGATCAGTGCTCAGATGTTTGTTCAGGGTGGGAAAGGTCGGGGGGGGCCATGGCTGGAAGGGATCTGTCCGTCTGCACGAAGCAGAGGGGTCCAGATTTCTCCCTTGCACACAGAAATGGTTCTCCTATAGCTTTTAATGGGATTTGTGCCTGCAGGTCGGAGCTCTAGTGCTATTTCTAGCTTTGCTTCTGACTCACTGATGTGATCTTGAACCAGTTTTTCAGGAGGAGAATGTGATATTTTTTCCTTTTCTTATTTTTTTTTTCTCAAGGAATTTGGTTTCAGAGGCTCTGGGCCTGTTTCTGTGGAGATGCTGAGCATCCCAACCTCCTCTTGACTCTGAAAGGGTGCAAAAATGAGCTGCAAAATGGCTCAGACTGAGGATGCTAAATTAGGGATGGGGGAAGGGGGGGTGTCCCACCATCCATGTTTGATTGCATGAAGCCTCTTAACAGAGGTGGTCTGGTTCCTTTCCTCCTCCTGAGGAGAAATTTGCCTCTCTGCAGGGTTGGGATGGAGGACTGGAGCTCTCTAGTCTGTGGAGGTGCTCCTGGAGGAGACAGCATGTCTCTTTTAGATTATCCTTTGTGCCACAGTTTTGGAGAGATGGAAAACTGGGATTACAGTGTGGGTTGTCTTCTACACCCAACCTCATGCCCAAGCCTTCAAGCAACCCATCAACCCTTTAGTATCTTCCAAAATCTCTGCTAAGAGCAATGGGTGAGGCTCAAATACCAGCTGGATACTACCATGTGATTAGGAGAAAATTATCTGCGTGGGGCACTGTGTTTTATTGGAAAAATTAATCTCTGCAGAGAAATTTTGTGTCTAAGTCCTCCAGATTTGAATAGTGAGCTATAAGAAGAAGAGGATCTCTAGATTGGCGTGATGAGAGTGTGGCACGTGGGTGTATAAATATGGGCATATTTGTGCATAAATACACAGAAGGAGAGAAAAAGACAGAGGAGGAGGAGATATTTCAGGAAGGGCCTTGCTTTGTTATCAGATAATTCCTGGGTCAGCCCTTGAAATCGCTGCCAAAATCTTGTAGCTTTTCCAGAGCTTGCAAAACACTTGGGGATGGGTCCAAGTGAAGGAGAGCTGGATTTGGCTTTGGAAGCAGGAGTTTCCCAAGGGGTTGGGGACATTCATCTCCTTGCAACCCTCTGCAAAGCAGCAGAGTCTCTGCTCCCGATCCTGAATCCCCATCTTGGGCCCATCATGACCATTTCTGTGACTGTGCAGGGAAAGCCAAGGAGAAGTTGAAGGGATTTGGTGGTGATGCAAGTGCTGTGCTGCACCAGGTGGGGGTTTGAAGTTATTTTTTTTAATGGGTGAATTTAAGTCCCTTGAACTATGGCAGCTTTTGGTCCCAGTGTGGCAGCTCCTATTTGGAGCCAGGGTAGGTTTATCATGGAATCATGGGAGGGTTTGGTTAGAAGGGACCTTAAAGCCCACTCCCTGCCATGGGCAGGGACACCTTCCACTAGCCCAGGTTGCTCCAAGCCCTGTCCAACCTGGCCTTGAAACCTTCTCTCAAGGTCTACACCCATGGGTGTAGTTTATCTGTGATAGTTATCCATGGTGGTTATCCATGGTAGTTTTCCATGGTAGTCATCCATGGGAGCTGATCAGTGTGCTGCCAGGGTAAAAAGGGCTGAGAAAGAAGGAGTCAGCCCCAAACCATTTTGTTGTGCACCTAAAATAAGGCTGTGGCTCTCTCTTTGCACCCCTGGCAGCATCTGACCTTCTCCCCATCTGTCACATCCCTTGGTTGCTCCTGTTGGGCACCAGCTGCTGCCAATGCCAGGAGGCCCAAAGGGGGGCAAGGGTCTCCCCCAGGGTCCAGCCTCTGGCCAGAGCCCTGCCCTTCCCCAGCCCATGGCCTCAGTGTCCCTGTGATGTTGCTGCCCAAATTTCATCCCCCTGCTCAGTTCGGAGCGCTCCGATCCTGCCGCGTCCCATTCGAGGGGAAAGGGACCAGCCTCCAGTGATGTGAATCATCCCCGGGAGCACAGCACTGATTTATACCCAGGGACAAGATCCCCCCAGCCCAGTTGTGCATGATGAGAGAGAAATTCCGTATCCATGTTTTTCCTCCAGAGGGGGGATGGTTTGGCTGGTAGGAGCTGCTGGACGTGGTGTAACCACACAAGGTCCACACATGAGGTACTACATCCCCTCCCCAGCCCTGCCTGGCTGTCCTGAGCTTGGGGTTGGTCTTTTGGGGTTTGGGGGTTTTTAGATTATTATTATTTTTTAATATTTTCCGCTGCCTATAAGACTGTAATTATCAGTTTGCTCTCGCTCCCTCATTGCTTGAGACCGTGCTCTTGTCCTCCAATGTCATCCCCAAACAGCAAGGGGAAAAAATGGGTATTGGATCAACCCTGCATGTGGTGCCTAATTTGAGCGAATCAATAGGAAGAGGAAATCCAAGAAGGACTCATCCTAAGGATGCTGGAGCTGAACCTTTTGTTTCCATGGTTACGGGAGAAATGGGACCAGGAATGGAGAGAGGCCTATAAACTGTTAGGAATTTCAAGTCATTTAACCATGCGTTTGCTAGACAACAATTTAGACACCAGCTGTACCTGAATTGCACAGTGTTTATAGACGTTCCTGCTCTTATTGACGGTGTGGGGGTGTCTGGGGGGTCGGGTGGAAAGGGGTGAGGGGCCCCCGAGTCAATAAGGCTGCCCGTTGTATATAGGTATATAGATCTGTGTACATACATATCCCAAATGAGCATTTGCTGTCTGGTTTATCATGAGTGTATATAATTTATTCTTCACAAAGTATCACGATTTTTGTAAATATTGGCACTAATTAAGAGAAAATAAATATGTATATTATTGAGGAGTTTGATATCGGCTCTGTGGAGGGTGGGAGAGGAAAAGACGAGTGGTTGTGTTTTTGATGTGTTTTTTTTATCTACAACTAAAACCTTCTGTGAGAAGAGAAATAATCAGTCTGAGCCATGGAAAAATCAGTTTGTGCTCCAACATCAGCCAGTTTGCAGGGGCTGGTGGAGGGGGAGATGCTCAGGGAAGAGCTGATGGATCTTGGTGATAGACACCAGGATTATGGACACGCTGCATGGTGTGTACAGCATTCCCATGGGATTTGCTTCAAAAAAGATTCCAGCTCCAGGGGAAGGGGCTGGAAGTGGGGTTAAACCCGCATTCCCCATCGTTCTCCACTCTTCCAACTTTGATATCAGCCATGTCCATGAAGGTAATGGAGAATGGCTGCTGCTGGGGGATAAACCTGCTCTCGGAAACTTTGTGGGCACCCAAAGGGTGCTTTTTAACCTGATGATTCCTCTTGGAAGAGGGAGAAGCAAATAGGCAGGGATGGTGCTGGTAGCATGTCCTCTGTGGGGTTACAGGCCTTGTATCCTTGGAGATGTCTCCTAGAGAGGAATGGAATCTTGCAGAGGAATGGTTGGTTTGTCCATCCCCAGGGAACAGCTGTAACAATATTTTCTCTTGCTGTTTCGTCTCCTCTCCTATGAGTGTCTTGGGGCAGCAAAGGGCAGGGGAGGCTTTGGGGGCCCTTGGTGCTCATGTTTGGGGGTTTGTCCATTTGCTTGGTGGCTTTCACAGGCAACGTGGCTGCTCTGGGTTTCCTTTCTTACAGGGTAGAGCCAAGGTAACCCCCCTACCTGTGTTCATGGGATGGAGATGAAACACAAGAGACCAAAGAGATCTCCATCTCTCATGGATGGGTTGGTCCTGCTCGGCTCTGGGAGGTGGTAAACCAAGGGTTAGTGCTAAACCTCCATCTCATCCTACCCCAAATCCCCTCATATTGGTCATGGAGAAGCCCCTGGTATGGGCTCAGAGTCTTGGGTTCAGTTGTCACTTGTGCCAGTGTGGCCACTGTGTGACCCAGGGATGTCATGTCCCATTCCATGCTCAGTTTCCCCATCCTTAACAGCTTCCTCAGCTGCCTCCAAGGACCCAGCAAACCACAAATCTTAATATTAGGACAGTGAAAATGCATAAAGGGGTGGCTGAACCCATGGATGGATGTTGTTGAGGGGAGAGAAAGTGTTTTAAGAGCAGCCAATTACAAACATTTAAGTACAGAAAACCATCAAAGTGCAAAAAAATTAACAGAAGCATTTATGGGCAATGCACCCTGAACGAAATGTCCGTGTTTGCCATAATGCT